TTCTTTCTTTCTTTTTCTCTCTTTTTTCTTTCTTTCTTTCTTTCTCTCCCTTTTTTCTTTCTTTCTTTCTTTTTTCCTCTCAGCTTTCTTTCAATTTGCAAGTCACGTATGATAAAATGCACCTGTTGTGTGTCCATTGTGTAATGCATGCACTCTTTATTGATACGTACATCATCAACTACTCAACCTTACACCTCTATTAATTTCCACACACTCAAAGCCTTTTTTCAAGTAGTTTATTTCGTGTTTAATTTTTATCTTTATCTTTATCTTTTTCCGGCTTATCTTATTAATCGAAAAAAATAATTAATACATCATTTATTGCTTTGTATGAAGCGACTTTGTTATCTCCCCATACTCATAATGTGACAAACAGGGATATTTGTATAACTTTTGATCGGAAAGCTTGGAAATTAAAATATCAAATGGTTGAAGAATCATTAATCTTATTGCAACAAAAACTTTTGATTTATATATTATGTGGACAAGAAAACTTGAAGTTTGACAGTGACTTCCTAAAAAGCTTGGTCCTGCATAAATTATTTAAGTTGCTTGATGGCTTTTTCGTGGAGGGATTTTCCTCGAAATCTCTCGTTTTCCCTGGACATTTTTAACTGATTCAAGTTCGAGCATGAAGTCAGGCTCGAGGCTTTTAGCCGTTTAGTTTTAAATGTTTTAAGAGACAGTAACACACAAAACACACAAACAATTTATTGTACAATTAATATAATTTTATATTATAGAGAAAATACAGAATGAAAGTACAATGCCATGCACCTAAATTAACTTAATAGTCTTTTTTGAGAGTAAATATATTCCTTCTGAACACTGAAATATATTGTCTTTCAAGACACAAGTAATTTTGCCATTTCGGAACGCCGCTGAGAACTGATCAAAATATCGTGATTTGTTAGTAGCGAGCGAGTAATGGATTACTTCAACGATACGGTGGCCATCTTGCCAGGGGTAAAACCAAAAAATAAAGACGACAGAAAATATATAGAGTTTCGAGTGATTGTCTTTCTTTCATGGGTAAAGGTGATCGATGTGCCGTCTCAATTTATCTTTATTTGTATTCTCTTGTGGTGAGCTGTTAATACCGTAACAAAGCTTTATTTGCCCCCTGGACGCCACATTATGCATTGAGCACGTGATCCAAGATGGCCGCCTTATCGTCGAAGTAGTCCATTATCTGCCCATGCCGAAGACTTGCGAGTCACTAACAAATCAAGATATTTTGTGATAACCGAGTCCAATATTAATAATCGTTTTATCATTTTTTTTTTAAAATCCGTTTTCATCAGAAAAAATCTGTTAACATTTGGTCAGCTACGATTTCAAGCTCACGTACATATTATGTGTCATTTGTTCATCAATGCTATGACTATCAATGACTATCAATGACTAACATGTTTCTTGTGTATTTGATGTCTCCTGTGCATTCATATATAGATTGATTCACTTGAGTGATGTCGACTAAATAGGCACTAAATTGCGACTATTAGTTAATAACTATTTTGCTTTTATTTAACGGATTAAGTACCATCGCTCTATATCCTCTTCTGCTGTTATCAGCAGCTATCAAATGAGCTATCAAATCAAATTTCATATACAATTTGCACTATAGAACTCGACAATTCAAATTTCAAAATGCACTCTTACATACAAAGGCCACGTTATGTAACAAGTAAAGCAGCTTTTTCCGTGCTCCGTTCAGTAATGAAGCACGCAGGAAGTGACGTACGCACGAAAGAAGTATAAGGAGAAGAACTAGCCGTAGACGAGTCCCCCCAAAGATCTTCAGCTTCCGCCGCCCGTGAATAAAATGCAAAATAACAGTAGCAACATAAGCGTATGTTTTTCAAAAAGACTATAGAAGTGAAAAAAGCAATTCAAGATTGGTAAGAAAATCGTAATGTTGTAACAGGGCTCCCGGAGGTATGGAAGTCATGGAGGGTTAAGGCCCTTGGAGATCCCAAAGGAGAGGGTGGAGCGTACTTAGGAACAAAGCCATGCGTACGTACGGACAGTTGGGGGTGTTGGCTGTCAAAGTGGGTGTTGGCTGTCAAAGTGGCTGTCAAAACAATTGGTTAAAACGACTGAACTAAACATAGACAATTGTACGTTTGACGTTTGTGGAATACTGCAGTGTTCCAGAGGAGGGTGATCAAGTGACACGTGACCTAATCGACCAATCACAATCATGATCACAGGCAACAAAAAATATCACAAGAATTTCATAGTCATCGTAAAGAATCATTACTTTCCCCTTATATTACTTATCATAACCTCATATTTTTTAATTGTCGCATGGATTAATGGCATTAATTCCTGTACACCAAGTCTCGTTTCCAGATAAGACATATTTCTATGTAAATTTTTAACATTACGATGGCCATCGCTTTCACACGCTGACACTAGATGTTGAAATATCGTGCATCTTTATCGCTTGTCATCTGGTTTTGCGATGGATAGCATGTCTGTATTTATAGATATTCTGAAGCTTTAATTCCTAATGATCAAAAATATCGAGGTGAACTCCGGTGAACCTCTTACCGTTTCCAAGTTATTCTGAATGTTGTGCATTGTACTATGTCGCCTATCAAGCATATCTTGTCAAGATGGCGGGGATCACCCGCGTAACGCTACTATCCTCATTCACATGAAAACACGGCACCACTAAATCGTTTCAGATAAGATATGAAATCGTAATTTTGAAGCTAACGTGGCCCCCAACTAGTTTTATCGACATAAATGGCGGAGACTTTGCCGTACCGAGGATGTAGAAATTGAAAGTCTACACAGTATAGATGTAGGAAATCCCCAGCTGTAAGAAAATTCACACCAAACCAGTGAGACAGATTTGGCATTCATAATACTTTCTCGCCAGGAGATGTTCACACAACGACGGTCAAACGCAAATGAAGCATAACGAAAAATTTAACCCACAATGCTCCACGCGCCTACACCCTCCTCTGGCTGTGTTTCGAACCAAAGAGAAATAAGCGAAAGGTTACAATGTCGACCGAGGAAAAATATTAGCATTTAATAAATTAATCGAGCAGTTGTGCCAAAATGAACACCACAAATAAAAAATTGATAAAATATCTTATAAAACAAATTAATCGAATATCTTATAAGGTTTGTATATATGCGAATAAGTTGGCATTTTAAATTTTGGCTTTGGGATACCTTTTGCAAACAAATTAAAGAGGTATTTATAATGAATTACGCTCAAAACAAGTAGAATTGCTAAGTAGTGCAAATGCAATGGTGTAGAACTTAAACAAATTGTAGAGAGCTCATAAAAGATGCTATATATAGGATGTCAAACCACTGCAGCGGGAGTCGAAACGAATAAAATTAAACAAATTGTCATAGCTTTTTTATCCCTTTAAACCATATTTATTTTATTATATACAATTCTTTTATACAAAAATATTGTGGGGAAAAAAATACGTATAACTTTAAAGGTCCTGGAGTGCGATTGGAAGGCGCCTGTCAGTGAATAATGACCATATGAATAGATGTATCGAAAATTTGAATAATGCCAACAGCGGTGCCATCCCTATACAATGACCATGACATCTGGCAATTCGTAAAATAAAAAAAGTACATATGCTAAGAAGTTTCTTAAAGGGTTTTCAGTATATGCAGTGTAAAGGTCGAGTACCAGTTTTTCCGCGACTCTTTAGCTTGCCTTCCTCGAAGAAAAACAGTTTACAGGTATGTTTTACTTAAATGAAGGTGGTAAATTTATCAATATTTCTAGAATGTTGAACTGCCAAAATATGTCGTAGCTTAAAATGGATATTTCTGGATAATTAATGATATGAAGGAGGAAAAAAATATGACGAATTGACAGCACAAAACAACACTCGGCTAGAATGATACAGTAAAAATAATCTTGAATAGCAAAAATTGTTCTTTCGTGTTAGCATGTTGACATCTAAATTTTATCCATAGTAATTTTTGGTTCGTGTGCCTGGAACTAAAATCGTTTTTTTTAAATCCACAATTTGGGTTGTCTCTTTTGCACTCTCCACTTATTCTTCGATATAATTGTATTTGAAACATTACAAAAGTTAATCGTAACAGGCCAATATTTAATTAGGCTTACATCTGAATTGTTTTGATAGAAAATTTTCGTCTTTTAGCACTGACAAGGATCAGCTGAGTTGTCAATATGGTTTATCATTTATCCTAACGCTTTATGATATAAAGATTCTGAAAAATCATTGTCGACGATTTGATTCAATCCTGTTTCATTTCAGAATGGATGCGGGGACGAACTCTACGCAAGTAAGTTTACGATGGCTCGTGTTCATGAACCGCAGTCCAGCTACCATCGCTGTAGAGACAAGTATTTTACTCCTTATTGTACTGATTGCCATTGGAGGAAATCTTCTGGTAGTAATCTCCATCTATCGCAATCCCAGCCTTCGTATCATCACTAACTACCTCGCACTCTCCCTCGCGATAACAGACATACTGCACCTTATAATGGCGATGCCCCTGACGATCATCGCTTCTGTACAAAGTAGGTTTGATTTCAATCCACATATGTGTGATTTTCAAGCAATATCCGTGATAAGTCTAGTCTACATAACAGTCATAAACATGGTCCTTATGGCTGTCAATCGTTTCGTTCGTGTCTGTAAACCAGAGAAATACCAAAAATTGTTTAATAAAAAAACCACTTCGATCATGATCGTTATAGCATGGGTGACGATATTTGTTGGAACGACTGTCTATAACAAGCTAAGCAACAGTGCTTCAAACGCGATCTTTTTTCCCGAGCAAATGAGATGTAACTTTGTGTATGACACAAACAAGCAATTATTCGTAGTTTTGGGTAATATGTTGATCGTCGCTTGCTTGCTAATACCATTCATTATCATCACCTACTGCTACTTCAAAGTATTCAAAAAAATACGAAAACACAAGAGAAGCATTGCGGACTCCACCTCGACAAACTCCAGCGGCCTGGGCAAGAGCGTACGAGAAATCAAGATCACTTGGACTCTATTTGCCGTGTTGCTAGGATACTGTGTCACGTGGATTCCAGCGCTTCTTGTTACCTTAGTAACAAACATTTTTGGTTGGTCGTTCTTATCTCGCCAGGTTCATTTGATTGTAACATTTTCCGGATTGAGCAGCTCTGCTTTGAATCCTGTGATCTACGGATTAATGAACCCTAGTTTTAGACAGGAATACGCCAAAATATTTGGCTGTAAGTAGGTATAAGTAATAACAATGAGTGACGAGACAAATTAAGGATAATTTTCAGGTGTTTTTCTCAAAAACATTTACTCAAGAGGCAAGAGAAACAATTGGCTATACGCCCCGTGTTCTTGCTTCCGTAAACACATCCAGGTGATCTGACGGAGATCGATTAGCCAATCATATTGCGAATGGCGTTTGCTGAAAAAGAATCAATCCCAATAGACCTTTGCGCGCCTTGAGAAGCAGAAAAAGATATGTGTGGATCGGTAATAATCAAGAACATAACATATAAGAATAGCACGTAAATACAACACATTTTTAAATCAAAAAAAGGTTTACAGTATATTGTTATTTAAAAACATTAATGTACGTACATACACGTTACTACTAAATAACAATTTGAGCACATTATCAAGTTTTCAATCATTTTCGAAACAAAAAACTTCGCAAGGTTAACTTTGTTGGCTATACGAATTACAAAAACGGATAAACACTTACTTAAAATAAACTTTTCATTTAAAATTTTTCTTGTACATAACTTGAAACATTACTATAGACTTCAAATGTGCAGCTATGACTTGGCGTCCTTCACGGCAATGTTTCGCCCAGGACTCTAGGTACATGTTAGGAACTGATTCTTTTTCAAGTCAGAAAATCATGCATTGCGCGCTTTCCGAGATCACCTAGATAATAATAATAATAATAATAATAATAACAATAATAATGAATTTGATATAGCGCTTATCCATCGCTGTCCTT